CTACCTTTGAATGGACCCCACACAGCCTTTCAAGCGGTGACGAGCGCGAAAATTAAATTTGTCGTGCTTAGAGGGGGAGACGAAGACGAAAAGTGTTAGAGGAGATTCGGTCCCGAGAGGTGATGAAGAATAATTGATTTACGCACCGGCTCGAGCGCTACACACGACCGGGGAGGATGACGCTGATTGCCTCGGCCATTGGGCTTTGCTTTGTGCACGACTCGACCTCGAGAACAACGGCGGACGTGGTTTATTTGCCTTTTTTTTTCATACCTCCGTGGTTGCGGGGTAATAGTTGTCGCATGAATCGTCCCCGCGATGCTCGTATCGGATGGATTGTGGAAAAAATATCAGACAAGTGTTTTTTTCCTTCTTCTTTCATATCAGCGAAAACTGACAAAGTACCATGTAATTCTAGCTTTGTTGGGAGCGAAGGAAGGAAGAAACATCTGTTTGGTAGTTGAAAACAAAAAGTCCGAGTGCCAGGCCAAACTGATAAAAATCAGGCCGAGCGCCAGTTTTGTTTTTAGGGAAGAACCAAAAATTATTAGAAACTAACTAGTTCGGGGGTTTGACTCCGAGAGGATAAATGTCCATTCGGCATTCACGGCGCACTCGACCTCCGATTCTTCCTTTCTTTCTTTATTTTTTTCTTTCCCAAATGGACTCTGTGTGTATGTGTGTATAGTGCACAGGAAACACGGCAGGCCCGCCCGCCCAATTTTGCCGTGAATTTCGTCCTTTTATCCCTCGAAAAGCGTCCTCATCGCGCCACGTCCGTAGAAAAACACTCCTTCTTTTTTCGGCCCATTCACGCCCAGACGCACAAAAACTAACCGGCGTCTCCACGCTCCTCGCGCTTTTCCCCATTGTTCCTTCCGACCGATCCTCCCCTCCCGCCCTTTTTACACACTTGGCGCGTCGAGCTACCCTCAGGGACACCAGAGATGGCGTTCCCTTGCACTTTATACACACCCTCGAGTCGCTCCATCAAAATCACATATCCGATGGTGGTGGGCGGGTGGAGAAAATAAAACACCGTCCCCGCCCCGTTTGGCGCGTGGGCCCGCTCAAAGTCAAGTGCCCTTGGCTTCATTTTTCACCCTCCAACCCACGTTACATACTGCACGTAAACGCGTGGACTTGCGTACACGCGCGAGAAAAAAATCCATCCGAGGTGGGGATCGTAAAAAATAGAGGTCAGTAGTTCAAGGCAGGGAGTGGCAATAAAGAAAGAAAGAAAAAAAAAAAAAAAAGGTAAGAAAACTCGACGGATCACTCGAGTACACTTCCTGCAAACGCGTTGCGTCCTACGGCGGACCCCACACGGCGCTCCCCCGGTGGTTGCACCTCCGTATACCCAAAAAACCCAATTCTTACCTACACCCTCCCTCTACAGCACACGCACGCACACCCACGTAGGGTACGTATATATACACTCTGCGTGCGAAAGGCGCGCGTGTGCACAAGATTTTTCTCATTGTCCAGCTCTTGAGCCTATACGCGCTCTCTCGCGCCTCATTTTCCCGGGCATTGTGCTTTGCTCGGGCACTCCCGAGCGTCATCGTCGTCCCTCACTCGGGAGGCCCCCATTGTGTCTCGCAGTAGTGGTCTCTCGCTCGCTTCGTCGTCGTCGTCGTCGTCGTCGCTTTCGTTCTTTTATGCGCCTCGCTGCGACGCCGCCGACCGGATATACACTACGGGGCGATGATGACGACGCCCTCCGACGAGGATTTTCAGCTTTTTCCTGGGGGGGGGGGGGCCTACTTACTGCCCATACCCTACGTATATACGTATATAATACTCGTGCATTGTGCGACACATTACTCTGTGTGTGTGTTTATGCCGTTCCTCCCTGCAGCGGGGCCCACAATGGGGGCCAAAGGTAGCAAAGTGTGCGGCCTGTCCGGGAGCCGCCGAGGGGATTATTACTTGATTTTTAGCGAGTTTTAATTGTCCCCATTGTCGTCGGGGCATGCTTTTCCAGTCGTGCACGAGGGATCGCCAAATGCTTGTGTGCACTTTCGAGCTGCGAACGAGCGCCGGCCTTGAATGACTCCATGGGTTGTAAATTTGGCGCACGGGAAAGCCATTCCCGCTGACACAATGACATCGTGACACAGATTCTTCTCTCCATCCCTCGGCATTTTTCGGATGCTTCACATTTTTTTCCCCCCCTCCTCTTCCCTCCCCCACCCCGTGTGTACGTGTGTATACACATATGCGTGTGGCCACCTCGGACGACGCGATATTTTGGATTTCGGTCCGTCTCTCGACGATGACGATCGAAGCCAATTCCTTTCTCATCACCGTTGAGTTACGAGACACAAGGTCGGGGGAGGAAGGGGGATGGATTCCGATGAGAATTGATATTGTTTTTACAGAGTCTTGGGAGCCGAAATATTTTTACCAAACGGTAATTACGTAACAATGTCCGACTCGCGTGTCCAATGCGGGAGAAGGGAAAAAATGGGCACTGGGAAGTATCAAGGGGGCTACAGCTGTACTTGTGCACGTACACCAAATGTGAATCACATGTAGAAGTGGATCGAAAGAGAAAGAAAATACAGAGTCTTCGCTTCGGGGGTGAACCCAATATCGATAAATACGCAGGAATGCTCGTACAACTACCAGTGCGCTCGTGTGCATCCACGTCCGATCGTGTTTCACGGGGTTTTTCGAGCATTTAGCCCCGCACCCTCTATCGTTTATTTTAGATGGACTGCATATATATCCATATACGCCAAGGATTCAATGGCTGCAACATCATGTATATAAAACTCGCCAAGCTGTAATAATGGATACCTTCCGGGGGTGATATGTAACGCGATCGATGATGGTGTTTCGAGTTTCCCGTGTCCTCGACTGTTTATATTTAGAAAATTAATTTTATCAAAAAAAAAAAAAAAAAAAAAAAAAAACAACCGAGACGGTAATCGTTAGGCTTTGAAAAAAGTAAGTAGGTATGTTCAGGAGAAGAAGAAAAATGTTTCTCAAAACAAAATCTGTCATTAAAAAATGCCGAGCCCCTGCTTCGGTATAAAAAAAAGGGGGGTGGGGTGGGAAGAGCGGACGTAAATATCCCTCAATATCTTATTTTGGCAAATACAAAGTCCGTATATACACCTCCGCCTCTTTCGGAAATCGGCCATCACGGAGTGGAGTCCGAGGCCCGGTATTTTTGTCTCCATCGACGGTGCGACTCGTCCCAAAAGACATAGTCTGTGCCAATCTCGGGCTCACCCCCTTTCTTCCTCTCTCTCTCGACCAACGGCACATTCTAAGGCTAATTGGCGCTGCAGCCGAGCACACCCCCTTGCCTCTGTAATTTCATTAGGAAGGCGCGTCCCGACTGCAGTGTATAAACATACCTGTGCACTGTTTGGAGGATGACTCGTACATATACACGGGGTACGATCGAGACTCCCCCTCTTTCCGTTGACCCTGTGCTCGATCGCATCGCCACTAATGTGCGTGTTTGGGTACACATGTGTATGTATACTTGCACACGTGTGCGTTTCTCGTTCTGTGTCTCGTTGGAATATTTTGAGCTCTCGGGTGGCGGCGACGATTTTTCAAGGTCCGACTGCGCGCCCTTTCATTAAGACTTCCTCACGAGGGGACGATTACAGTGACGCGAGGAGAGCAATTGTCTACTAAATGTGTAATTGTCACGTGAAAGTGCACCCAAATTGACAAGTCTAAATTGACCTTTTTTCTTTTTTTTAATCTGGTATACGTATAGTGCGAGAAAAGAAATGCTGTCTATAATTTCAACTGTATTGATAACGGCAACGTGCGATAAGTGATCTGTAAGGGGTGAGGTACAAAATTGATATTACAAGTAATATCTTGATTCCTTGTTACCTCATTACCAATCATGCCGAATTTGTTTTTTTACTCATACAAATATTCTTGGCAGAGCAAATAAATAGCAGAAAAAGAAATACTGCCGTATTTTGCTCGATATTTTGACACAATGACGATTGCCGAGTAAATTAATTATTTATTGATACTTTAGCCTCCAACCGCTACAGAATTCAATCATTTATTAGTTATTGTAGTTATAAGTAATTAAATGTATCTTCAGACTCTGTAGCAAAACTGCATTTAGTTATCTCAATTACGCTAATCATTTTTTTTTAATCTTTAAGTAAGTTGAGCTATTCCATACAGTTGCAATATGTGATCAGTTGGACCATTTCACAAACTGTACAATTTATTACTGTACGTTTAAGGAATGAGTTATACTGAGAAAATGTACTAAAATTACTTATCTGTTTCAATTTTCTATTTTGGTTATCTTCATAGGGTAGATAAGAGAATTGCTAACATGTTACTCATCCTGATTTATATTAAACAACACATGAGGACAAGAAAGGCATAAATAATACAATTGGTTCGTGTCCAAAAGCGCACATTTAACTTCAACAGAAACTTTTATATATCTTAATAATAAAAAAAACTACAGATAACGTTTCGAATTGGCTAAAAATACCATAAATCTTTTTCCATGTCAAATTTTAGAACAAATTAATAATAACGTATAACAAAAAAAAAAATATACATATAAAAGACATCACAGTTTTCAAATTAAAAACGAAAAATGATTTAGGATAGGCCAATTTAAAACATTCTTAAATTTCAACAAAACATGTGTTTACAGATTTTTTTCTTCACATGGCGTAATATTTGGTATATCCTAGTTATCATATGCAATAATAATTTAACAATTCAAGTTAAAGCTTTAATTGCAAAGATTCTCGTAAGAACCTATGTTGTTTTTTTTGTCTTCTGGATAACCCCGATTTCTAAGACCTTATAATAATTATAATGTACCCAAATTAAGCTCTAGTTAGGTTTTTATCAAAAACGTATTGACACTCCGATACCATGCTTAAACGAATAATATTTATTAACAACTTTGTTATTTCATTTTTAAACCATGGATTGAATTTTTCTTATAACAGAAAAATCAGAAACAAATTGAAATTGATCAATCAATTATGCCTAACAGTCTCATTATCAACATTAACCGAGATGGTCTTTAGGACAACAATGTTCATGCATCTATGTTCTTCGCCCACCGTCTTTGTCAGCTTTTTCTGGCCTCCCAACTGATTATCCAGAGCGCAATTGGTGCGATCCAGCGCTTTGAGTCCTAATAAGCGACGATAGGCTTTTCGAAACGCCGGCCTCTTCCAAGCGTAAATAAATGGATCGATACCGCTGTTGCACGTCGCTATCCAGTACGCCACGAAAAATGACGTGTCGCTTGGTTTTAAGCTTTTTTTCAAAGCGAATAAAAACAAATGGATCATAAACGGTAACCAGCACAACGAAAAACAACCGAGGATCGTGAGTACTACCTGTAAACATGGTAAATACGATTGATATAAATATATAATATTAGAAGTGATGTGTAGGTACGTGAAATAATATTAGTATACCTTATTACTTTTGCTGTAACTGGCATTACATTGCTGACCAACTTCTTGTGATCTCGCTCTCGATCTTTGAGTATATTCCCTAGATGTTTTCCATATCTTCCAATAGAGCACCGAAATACTGAACCAGACAATCAAAAAGTTTGGAACCATGATCCCCATTACGTATTGTCTGGAACATCAAAAGCCATAAAAAGTTATGACAAAATTATTCCGATATAAAAATAAAATAAAAATGGATGCAAACATACGTAGACATGACGTGGCAGAATTTGCAGATGCCCGGCTTGTAAGTGTTCCAATAGAGGGGTATCGTAGACTTTAACAGAGTTACGCTCCAAATAACAGCAATCATAATATGGATTAAGCTCTTGGTTACGTATTGGGGATATTCAAGTGGATAAATTATTGAAATGTATCTGTCGACAGCTATAGCCGCCATATTGTAGTATCCAGAAGTGCAGGCAATAGACAGAAAGACGTATCTGTTGAAGTAAGCAAACTTAAGTTAAACCTTCACGATACGCACTGTACAATGGCTGTAAATCTAAAGATAAAAATTTTAAACTTTTTGCTAAACTTAATGTTCTATTATACTTAATCACTCACCTAAGTAAGCACGAAATTTTGTTATTGAGATCTGGGTAAACGTACAATATGAGATCATACAGTGTTGCGGGAGCCATAAGCAGGTCTGAAATGGCGAGGCTGATTATCAGGCGGTTCGATGAGGCGCTGAATTGTTTACGGCTGAGCCATGCAGCTAATATGGTCATGATATTCCCAAATAATATAACTGAAGCCATAACTATGGTGGCCACTATCCAGTATATACTGTAATGACTGTTTGGTAAACAATAAATAATCAATAGAATAAGTGACGATTGGTACGGTCTTACTCGACTAGTATTGAATGTCATAGAGATATTATATTATACTATAAAACATTTTTGTTTATATGTTGCACTTATTAACTAATTCATTAGTTCTGACAAATCAAACAATTTTGAATAAAAGAATATTTAAAAAGATTGTAGGACGTAAAGCATTTTAAGTATTGTGCCTTTAACAGAGTTTCGCACTTCACAATCTTCGTGAGCAAATTTTCTTATACACGAAACTTATACTATCTTATGGTAGTCTTTTGTTATTGGAAATTCAACATTACGAAAAATAAGTAAAATTCATATACTTACTTGAGAAAAGTGTGAAGCATAGCTGTGGCTTAAACAATATAAACAGTGCAAGCACGAAAAAAATACGCTGCCTGAGAGAGTATTCGCGCGCGTGTGAAACTGTTATGACTTTTTCCCGAACGCAGTACAGTAATCAGCTAACGTGAAAAACCAAAGGTGAAAATGAAATAACCATTATTTAACTGGATATAGCCTACGAAAACTGCATTAGTCTGCCCATGACGGATAAGTCAATGGAAGTTAAAAAGTGATATCATGGCTTTCTTATCTGCGTTTGGGTACGATAAACAACCTTTCAGTTGATCATAAATGTGAAAAACATAATTTTAAAATACATAAAAGTAACTTGAAACAAAACTGTTTTCAAGCAAATGAAAATTTAGTAAATTAAAGTTAGTATCAAGTAACATAATATTACAAATTTTGCGCAATTCTTAATATAGTGGTATCAAAAAAATTTAAGTAGCTGAATATAATAATNTATCGGCGTGCAGCGGTCGTATACCTACCTGGTCGCCCGTACGAAACGGCGTGCCATAAATCTGTTATCGGCACCAACGACCGAACGGAAGGGAGAAAAAGGGACACGACACGACGACCCCGCTGTATATATGTATAGGAATGGAAAAAGACCGCACGCCGGCAGCAGTAGCTATATTTCTATAAATATATGATGAAAGTTATTTATTATCAGCTCGTTCCTTACAGTTAGAGTAAATAAAAAAGTTGAGATAAAATCCTATAAATCATCACAAGACTTTTGTGGTTCAAAGGCTTGATGTTTTTTTAAATTATAAAGATTCTTTGAACCACTTTGAACTGAAGCTTTAATTAGTATATATAAAAGCAATTAAACAAATGAACACTTTGGAATACAAAATGATTGATGTGCATTTAAATACATACTATGAACTCTACTTACAAAACAATCATTTTATTTTAAAAAAGTTATTTAGCTTTGTATCGAATAATTCGAAGACAACTTAACAATCAATTTTTTTGACTAAGCTATTTTTATAATGTAGTCTGCAGCCAGGTATAGTAGCTATTTAATTGCACAGGAAATAGATCTCTATTCTAGTTTGTTTTGCTCTTTTACAGGAACGAGCAATTTTTTTTTTTTACTACCCGTATCGTCCTCATCACTGTCATTTATCACCTTCGAGATAAACCCGAGTCTAGAAGCCATGCACATGGAAGCGGTGATATAGTGGTAAACGTCCCGACACAGATAATTGCGGCTAGCCCAAACGAAACGAAACCACACCAATTCAAAGGACACCGGCTGTTGTCCGAGCTGGTATATACGTATACTCAAGCTCCGAAAGATCATGTCAAGGATAAATTTGCCGAAACCCTTGACGAATTTTCTACGGCAAAGAGCACAATCTCGCTTGCACGGCCGTAAAAGTTTTTATTGACAACTCGAATTTGTACGACCAGGAAATTTGAGTTTTTACAACGCACGATGTGACTTTAACACCAGATGTATTTTGGAGTAGTTGTGGTGGAAGGGACAACCAAAAGGTATAATGACACTTTTCCGGACTGTCGTGTACTTAGCGTCTGTATTATCTTAAGCCAGATCAAGATAGCCCAAACAGGTAGATTGTGACGGTACGACGTGACACTATGCACCACCACCTTTGACGTGTTCTTTAAACCCTATACACGTAGTTCTCCCATATCCATAGTAATTCCCGACCACCACAAGTACGACGAACCATATTTCCCAGTTTTTCCCTCGGCAACGCAATCTCGTCCATACCAAAACAACAATTTAATCTCCACTTTACGATGACAAATTTTTCCCCCGACAACTGCATCTCCAAAGTCCTCGCGCTACGGATTAGCAGGTAAAAATTCGCGCCCCCTCGTAAATAATAATGAAATCTCACCATATTCAAAAAAAAATCGGACAATTTCTAGCGCGACGGGTCGTAAAAGCGTCCGGAGGATAACCGAGTGACGCCCCAAAGTGTTAACAAAAATTATCGCGATTAGCGAAACATAACATTCACCCGAAGTACAGCGTAAATAACCCCGTTGGTAATCCGCGCAGAGCCGAGAACCCACACGCAACGAGATTCATCCTTTCACGAAGCACCGGCACTATATGGACGGCCCCAAAGAGAGACCGCCTCGGAAGCTGTATATGTATCAATCAAGCTTAAATCGTAAAAGTGTGGGCAGTTGACGGCGGCGCCCGAGTGTCGGGTCCTGCATCCCTTTCTCATCACCGCAACTCTTTTGCGACAAAAGTCCAGAGACGGCGGATTAATTCACTTCGCCTCTCCCCGTGTATATACATATATTATCTATGGTGCACAAAGGCACACCGTCGACGCGCCGGATGGATCGATCGGAAGGGGGGGGGGGCATCCGTCACTCGCCGAAACGACCATGGTTTGGGCAAAAGATGAGGTGGATGGAATGGAAAGTCGGAGGGGGAGGGGAGAAAAAAAAAGTCATCGACATCCGGAGAGTCCGCATACCAGATACGGCCGCGTGGGAGAGAGAAAGGGAACGTCGCGTAATCCGCAGATTTACGAGGCGAGGATGAGAGCGAGGAAAGAGACTCCTCTCGCGCGAGGAGGCCTGCGGTGCTCGGGTGATTTCTCTATTAGCACTCGGCGCTGGCCCGAGACCCCCGTCGATCGGGGCCCACCTCGGAGATGCTCCTAGGGACGCGCAGATTTCTCCCTCTATCCCCACCCCCCCCCCCACCCTCAATACACACCCTTGACCTCTTCTCTCTCTTTTTCTCTGCATCCGCTGTTTCATGCGCCTCGCCCTTGCTTAATGGACATAAAATAGAATCCAGATAGAGAAATGGCCCTGCATACACCGTGATGCCCTCATTTCATACCCCCAACCCATGTTAAATCTTATGAAAGCAAATAGTAAGCCGTGGCAGCCACCGGCGACAACATACCCCCGTTTCCATGAGACTCCGTGTTAAAGTGACAGCCAGCCCTCCAACTTCACGAGGTGCAGTGCAGTTACAACGCTCGGTTGTTATTGTTGTTGTTATGTTTTTTGTGAGCCCATAGATGGGTATATACCTGCGTGCAAATGGCTCGTTAGAGACAATTTTCCTGCCCCTGGGGGGAACGGTGGAAAAATGTTTGTGTGTCTCCATACCCTCGTGGACATTTCTTGAAACGGCACAGTGCAAACTCGGCAGCACAAAGAAAGAAAGAGGGGCCTGTCGGGTAATTAGTTTGAGCGCTCCTTCTTTTTCTTTTTTTCTTTTTTTCTTTTTTTTTTTTTTTTCTTTTTTCTTTTTTCTTCTTCTCCCCTCTGGTGCAGGTGAAAACACTGATGGGCGCGTGAAACAATCGTGTGTTGTGTGTATACATGGCTTTGGCTACCGAAAATATACATGTACCTATCGGCGTGCAGCGGTCGTATACCTACCTGGTCGCCCGTACGAAACGGCGTGCCATAAATCTGTTATCGGCACCAACGACCGAACGGAAGGGAGAAAAAGGGACACGACACGACGACCCCGCTGTATATATGTATAGGAATGGAAAAAGACCGCACGCCGGCAGCAGTAGCGAGCTCTTTACGGCAAAAATTCTGGCGCGGTGCCAAGACCCGGGCACACGCACCCGTGTATACATGCGAGAACGAGAGGAGGTGGGGAGGGGGGAGGATAAAGGTAAAAGAGAAAACGAGAAACGGAGGCTGATCCGACCGAGACGCGTCAGCAGTGGTGCAACATCGTCGAGGGGAGAGGATGCGCACATGTTAACAAGTTGGGCGATAGATACGGGGAGATAAGCTCTCTGGCAAAAAAAAAAGTAGCAGCTCCTCTGCGGCGTGTTCGCGCGTAATGCGACACCAAAAACACTCAACCGGCCAGGCCAAGATCACGGGATACAGGACCCTTGTTTTTCTGCACGTTACATTATGTACATATACATGCATGTTATGGTGGCCCCTTTGCCTACAGAGCATCACCAAAGAGGTGCTATACGGCAGGTTTCACCGAATGTTTGCACTTTGGCTCGCACCACATCTTCATCCGTACACGGGGGCCGCTTAACGGTTCCGAGCGGGTGATTTATTGAGGATATTTACATCGAACCTGCGCATATACGTACTTTCGGGGGCGAAACCACCAGGGCTTTCATCCAAGCCGCGCTCGCTCGGGGTCCAAAGTTTTCTTGTGTTGCGAAGTAACGCGCATTTCCCACGTTCAATCCAAAAATACGAGGGCGCGTGTGTGTGCATGCGTCTTACCCATTCAAAAGAAGAAGGGGAGGGGGTCATTGAACACTTCGAAGGGCCCTTAATTGCCGTGTTTTTGGCGGGGCCCTTTACAGTCGACGGATAAAGGCACCGTCGTTATCTCCGAGGAGGGGTTACTTATTTATGGAGCCCATATACTCCCTAGACGCGGAAAACGCACCGCACACAACTGTACTCGCAATCCGAGGCAAAGTAACTATACGCGCGGAGAATGGAAGGGTGGAACATTTGTACCGGGGACCCCCTTTTCTCATTCTCACGAGCATGACTCCCCCGTCGTGATAATCATCGCCGTTGTTTTCGGAGTATCCGGTTCCCTC